CCGCCGGCTTCCCCCGAGGCTTTCAAAGCCGCGGAGGGGCTCCGGCGGCGGGGCATCCGGCGTACAAGACGACCCCCGATTTTTGGGGGATGTTTTTTAACTTCAGAGGTCGTCTTGTACGCCGGAATATACGGTAATTTACGACTAGCCATTTCTCAGTTGCAGCTTTGTAGAGACTGATCTTGTACCCCTCTACCAACCTGCACTTGGAGTGGCAAGACAGGTTGGGAAAACGATCTTACTCCCCTTTGTCTACCTGAATGGCTGCATAAAGCTGGGCTGCAGCCTGGGTCTGAGGATGATGCGTTCAGAGCTTTCATTCAAATCTCAGTTTATGTTTGTAATGGAAACACCTCCATTTCATGTTTGTTTTGTATCTCTAACAGGAATTCAGTCAGAAGCTGCAGTCTAAAGAGGCAGCTCTTACCACTGTGACTGAAAAGGTGAACAAACTAACACAAGGACAAGAGTCTCCTGAGCATAAAGAAATAGGTCACTTCACCAGTCAGTGGTTGGACCTCTGCCTTCAGGCCAACAATTTGCTCATACAGAGGGAGGAGGATCTTCAGAGGACAAAGGATTACCACGATCGCATGAATGTAGTAGAAATCTTCTTGCAAAAGTTTACAAAGGAATGGGACAACTTGGCCAGGTAGAGAGGCCTAACTTTCACAAACCCTTACTCTCACATATCCCACACTTGTTAAGAAACCTCTCCACTAAAAATTCTTTCCCCTTGCTTAGTAAAACTCCAAGAAGCAAAATTCATTGTTTTGAGGTGGAAGGAGGCTGAAATACACTGCTTATGTTTTTTATAGGCGAGATCCTCAGCTCTTTTCTTGAAAAGACATACACTAATTCACTCCAGCTGAAGATTTGAACCTTTACCTGTGCTACCTTTTCCTACTTAGAAATCCTTTAACTGCCTGGTTGTTAGATCTTGCTGAGTTACACTTTTCTAACTTTCAGCCTGTCATTCATGTATAATTTTGTAACTGGAAATGACCATGTTACAGAATTAATCAGGAATGCGCTTCCAAAAGATGTGCTCTGATATCAGTAACACATGTCTAAATAATTGCACAGTATTTTATATAATGGTTAGATTTAATTGTCAGACTATTGAATGCTTACATTTTGCATCATTGAGATGATACTTTATATAGTCTTAGGAAATATACAAATTTAAACAGTAACAGTCCAATTCTGCTCCCATTAAAGTCAGTTGGTAAAAACTCCCTTTGACTTTAATAAATTGGGTCTTAAACAAAAGTATACTTTGTTATTGTAATAATTTCTCTAGTGCAATATTTGTTTTACTAGTTACTATGCAATATATTATAATCTGTGTTAGCTGCTAGTGCTTTACATTGCTGATATGACTATTTTAGCTAATGACACCCTGCGTGGGGGAAGAAATAGTAAAAATATTAAACTTGTCATTGATGATTGAGGTAGCTATCTTCAAAGAGGTAAGGGATGTGGGCACCCAATTCCCAATGAACTTCAATATGATGAGAGTACCTAATTCTCTGTTTCTTTTAAAAACTGTATCCTGAGATACCAACTGATGTTTCTTTTTTTGTACCATGGATTTTGTCAACAGATCAGATACTGAGAGCACGACTATTCACCTGGAGGCTCTGAAAAACTTAGCATTGGCTCTGCAGGAAAGGAGATTTGCTCTTGAAGATCTGAAAGACCAGAAACAGAAAATGATGGAACATCTGAATCTAGATGACAGAGAATTGGTGAAAGAACAGACTAGTCATTTTGAACAGCGCTGGTCTCAGCTGGAGGACCTAGTAAAGAGAAAAATTCAGCTTTCTGTCACAACCTTAGAGGAGCTGAGTTTGGTGCATTCTAAATTTCAGGAACTGATGGAGTGGGCAGAAGAACAGCAGCCTAGCATCTCTGAAGCTCTTAAACAGAGCCCTCCTCCAGACCTGGCTCAGAGTCTTCTCATGGATCATCTCACCATTTGCAGTGAATTGGAAGCCAAACAGCTTATTCTCAAAGCACTCATAAAGGACGCTGACAGGGTGATGACTAACCTCGGCCTCAATGAAAGGCAGATCCTCCAGAAGTCCCTTTCAGATGCACAAAATCACATAGATTGTCTTAGTGATATGGTTGGCCAAAGGAGGAAATACCTGAATAAGGCATTATCTGAAAAGACTCAGTTCCTCATGGCAGCTTTTCAAGCTACAAACCAAATTCAACAACATGAAAAAAAGGTTATGTTCCATGAACATATATGTTTGTTGCCAGAAGAGGTGAGTAAACAGATCAGGACTTGTAAGAGTGCCCAAGCTAGCCTGAAGGCTTATCAGAGTGAAATAACTGGGTTGTGGACTCAGGGAAGGGATTTAATGAAAGAAGCAACAGAACAAGAAAAAGGTGAGGTATTAAATAAACTCCAGGAATTACAGAATGTGTATGACACTGTTTTACAAAAGTGTAGCCAGCGACTGATAGAACTCGAGAAAAATACAGTTTCCAGGAAGTATTTTAAGGAAGATTTGGATAAAGCCTCTCATTGGGTAAAACAAGCTGATATTGTTACATTTCCAGAAATCAATTTAATGAATAATAACTCTGAATTATATACTCAGCTGGAAAAGTATCAGCAGATTCTTGAGCAGTCTCCTGAATATGAAAATCTTTTACTTACTCTCGAAAGAGATGGTCAGGAGATCTTGTTATCACTTAATGAAGTGGATCATTCTTACCTGGACGAAAAACTGAATGCCCTGCCACAGCAATTTAATACTGTCATAGCCTTGGCAAAAGATAAATTCTATAAGGTTCAGGAAGCAATTCATGCCCGTAAAGAATATGCTTCATTAATTGAGTTGACAACTAAGGCTCTAACTGAACTAGAAGATCAGTTTTTAAGCATGAACAAAGCTCCCACTGCTCTTTTAGCCAAAGAGGGTATGTCACTTCAACAGGATTACACAGCTCTCCTAAGTGAAGTGGTGAACCTTGGTGCAGCAATGGATGAATTGAACCAGAAGAAGGAAGCTTTTAGAAGCACCGGCCAGCCATGGAAACCTGAAGAGATGTTAAAACTCACCTCCTTGTATCACAAGTTGAAAAGGCAAATTGAACAGAGAGTTAATTTTTTGGAAGACACTATAGAGGCCTACAAGGAACATGAGAAGATGTGCCTGCAGCTTGAGACACAATTAGAGACAGTGAAGAAAGAGCAGCTGAAAGTGAATGAAGAAACACTGCCAGCAGAGGAGAAGCTGAAAAGCTACCATTCTCTGGCTGGCAGCCTGCAAGAGACAGGGATTCTTTTGAAGCGAGTTACCGAACATCTAGAAGCACTTTGTCCTCAGCTTGACCCATCCACATATGAGACAGCAAATGCTCAGATACAGTCTTGGCAAGAGAAAATGAAGTTGTTGCATGCTGCCATTGCTGACACTGTGATGGAATGTGAAAATAGGCTGGTGCAAAGCATAGACTTCCAGACTGAGATCTGCCGTTCACTTGACTGGCTGAGATGGGTGAAAGCAGAACTTAACGGAACGCTAAGCTTGGAGCCAAAACTGCAAAACATTCAAGAAGAGATACGAAAGGTTCAGATACATCAGGAAGAAGTACAGTCAAGCCTGAGAATAATGAATGCAGTGAACCATAAAGAAAAGGAAAAGTACATGAAAGCTAAAGAACTAATACCTGCTAACTTGGAAAATAGCCTCGCTGAGCTCTCAGAACTAGATGGTGAAGTTCAAGAAGCCATACATCTGAGGCAGGTTAGTTAGTGCATTTTTAAATTATTTTATTTTATTCCATCTTGCTGGAAACAAACATCATGATAAGATTGCTTTGGTTTTTTGCCTGTGATAGCGGTGAACAGTTGGCTTTGTTAATCATATTGTCTTTTCTGAGATCTTAGGCACATTTCATAGTCCAGTCCTTTGATGCTGTATAGTGCCAAACATGAGTAAGACTCACAACAAAACACACATACACACTCTTTGTGGCCTCCTCAGAGCTTGGGTCTAGGTAGTGGGCAGAGAGAGAACACTGAGCACAGCTGCTGTTACCCCTCATATGCAAGAGGATGGAAAGGGTGGAGAGTGGGTCGAGCGGTCACACCTTGTTTGGGATTCTTTTGTTGCTGTTGTGAATTGTGGCCCCTCTAACTATGTGCGGTATTTTCACTGTTGTTTCAGGCTGTTTTGACTAAACTCTATAGCCTATGCCAGAGGTACTACCAAGTGATACAAACAGCGGGTGACTGGCTTGAGGATGCCCAGGAATTGCTACATTTGGCAAGAAATGGTCTAGATGTGGAGAGCTCTGAGGAGAACCTAAGGAATCACACTGAATTTTTCAGCACCGAAAATCAATTCCTTGGTCATCTGGAGGAGCTACAAGTGCTGATGTCTGAGATGAAACCGTTTATCCAGGCCACAGCAAGAGAGGAGCTGTTACAGAATGTAGCTGTTTTAGAAGAAAAGGGCAAGATAACCAAGCAAGAATCTGAAATCCAGCAGGATCAGCTGCAGAGGTACCTTTTTATTCACTTATTTTAAATTAGAAGATTAACCTGGTGTTGGTTGGATCCTTCAGGTCAGGGGTCTGAGGGTGTGGGGGATTCAGGAGTCAGGGCAGGGGGCTTGGATTGTGGGCAGGTGCAGGAGACAAAGTTCGGAGTGAGGAGGACCTCAGGGCAGAGTATGAGGGATGAGGAGGGGCTCATGGCAGGGGGGGTGCAGGAGTCAGGGCAGGACGTGGGGAGCTCAGGGCATGGGGCAGGAGGGGCTGGAGGCTGCTCCATGGGGCTGCACCAGAACAGTATGAGTTATACTAGAGAGCCCATTGGTCACTATTCTTTGGGGCTCTGTCTCTTGCTGTTCCTCCCCTGTGTTCATTCTAGAGTATAACTGTCCCTGCTATTAGAGCCTTCCCTTTCCGTTTTTTGAGAAACAATTGGATTCCAGGGATATCCTATTGACCTGACACAACCAACACTGACCTTGCTTTAAGTTATGATAACAACTTAAAACAAATTTAATGGTTTTTACCATTCGTGAGGAATTATTGAACAAACAAGACTCAAAGACAGATGCATAGAGAGAGACACAAACAGACCACATGCACACACGCACACATACACACACACTGATGATGATGAGAAAGAGGGACATTTGCTTTAGAAACTTCACTGGAGTTTAAGGGTATTCTGTTGAATAGTGCAGTATCCGGTGGTTCAGAACTTCTAGTTTGTGTTTCCTCCTGTGCCACTGACCTGCTGTTTGACCATTAGGAAATTGTTTAAGTTCTCTAAGTTTCTGTTTACTTATATTTAAATGAGTATAGTGAGGGTTTCCTTTGGGGCCCTAGCAATAGGGGAAATGGATGAGGTGCAATGGTCACAAAACCCACAAAATTCTGAGTATTTGCAACTAGGGAACTTGGAACAATTGCATCAGTGTTATTTATAAGGTTTCATGATTTTTTGATTGTTAGAAACTTTGAAATTCTCTCATGAAAGGTTTTAGACTCATGGTCTTTAAGGCACAAAGGGTCCATCATGATAATTCAGTCTGACCTCCTCTAGATTGAAGGCTACAGAACCTCATCCACCCATTTCTGAAAATGACACATAATTTCTGGTTGAGTTACTGAGGTTCTCAAATCATGATTTAAAGATTTCAAGTTACACAGAATTCACCATTTATGCTAGTTTATACTTGTAAGTGACCCACGTTCCACGCTGCAGAGGAAAGCAAAAAACCCCAACCGAACAGCCACCACCCGAGGTCTCTATCAATGTGACCTGGGGAAAATTCCTTCCTGACTCCAAATATGTAATCAGTTATTCCCTGAGCATGTGGGCAAAGACACCTGCGAAAGAATTCAAATCGGAGTCCTCCTCTTCTAGTGTTTCATCACTGGCCATTGAAGATATCTGCTTCTAGCAAAATAGTAGTAGTAGTAAAGTTTAGATCCTGGTGTGACAGTGTTGGATTCTAAATGATTTTGTGTTATATTCAGTCTTTCTTGCTGGTGTTTTATTTTCCAAGGTGCACATCTCAGTGGCAGGAGTACCAGACAACAAGACAGCAGGTTATTGAATTAATGAACAAAGCTGAAAAGAAATTATCTGAATTCTCTGTTGCCAAAGCCCCTTCTGGACATAAAGCAGAAGACAAATTGTTAGCTCATAAGGTAAGGAAATACTATTTTCTTCTGTTGAATTAGTTAAATATTGTGCCATATGCAGGATACTAAAACTTTACAAAATAGACTTGGTTCATGGTAAAATTCTTACCATGTGTTCCTAGCAACATGGCTGATGAAATTGATTGATAAGAACCCCTCTGCTCTTAGATGAAAGTGAGAGATAACATGAGTTGGTTTTGCCCCTCATTTTTATAGTCCAGTCATCCTTAGAAAGGTTATCCTGACATAAATTTCCTGAGATATGGAGTCCAGTGATGAAAGAGGTTCATTGTGTGTGTTTACTAAAATATAGGTCCATCTATTCCTGCCCCGCTTCGTTGCCAAAGAATGGTCCCTTGACAGGCAAATGTCCCATATCTTTGATGATATTTGTTTAGAGGCATTCGTTTGTCTTATGAGGAACAGGTTTACCAGAATTGTCTGGTAAACACATTTCATTCATAATTTTATCTTATGTTCATAAGTTCATATATAATATTAACTTACACATTCCCCAGGATATTCTTGACAAGCAAGTTATTAGTTGTTAAACAATACCTCACAAGGCATATTTTGTTCAGGAAACCCAGCAGAAAACAGAGCGGACGTATAGCTGGTACTGGTGACTTACCCTACCTTCTTTGCCTGGTGAATGCACTGTCTTTATAGGTTAGAGATGAGGACAGAAATTAGAGTGGGCTTCTTATTGCTCTGACTTCTGCTGGGAATAAGTAGCTTTAAATTGAGGAGCTAAAACTGGCTCCTTTTGGCTACTAGTGTCCATTTATGTCCAAGTTCATTCAGAGTGCAGATTTACTAGTGCAGGCCCTAGTGATTAAACTTGTGTGCACACATAGCTTCCACTCAAGCTACTGAAGATATGCAGAACTTTTCACATTCAGCTCATGGACTCCTCACTCATTAAGACCTGTTTAAATAATACACAGATCTAAATCAAGTTTGATAGGAGTCATTATAAAATGCAGTTACAGTAAGCACACACACAAGGCATTTTATAAATTAAATATGCTTCAAAATACACAAAATTGATTAGGTTAAGCTCACTGTTATAAGAAGGGAAACCCTGCCATTTCTTTTTCTTTTTCAGTCCCTGGTGTCTATAGTAAATGCCTTCCATGAGAAGATCACAGCTCTGGAGGAAAAAGCTTCTCAATTAGAAAAAATTGGAAATGATGCCAGTAAGGCAACCATAAGTAGGTCAATGACAACTGTCTGGCAGCGCTGGGCTCGGCTCCGGAGCGTGGCTCAAGAGCAAGAGAAGATACTGGAAGATGCAGTGCAGAAGTGGAAAGGCTTTAATGATAAGGTACAAGGATCTGTGTATCTCATTTCCATTTCATTGCTTGCATGTTTTCGCTACTTGTAATATATAACAAGACACAGGTTCAAGCATTATTTGGACATTTCCTCATAAGGCTGACAGCTGAATTAGATGGGTCAGGTAATGCTATCATCCCTATTTTACATAGGGGGAAATGGAAGCCCATCTAATTTCCCAAGGCCAAGTAGCAAGTTATTTACAATGGCGGGATCAGAAATCCTGACCCCTGTACTTATGTGTCCACACCACATTGCACTCTGAAATAGAATGGAAATAATATTATGTACAGGCAGTCCCCGAAAAAGAGCGTCTAGACTGCAAGCAGTACTTTCGAAAAAGCAAGCCACTTTTTCGAAAGAGAGCACCCAGGCAGTCTGGATGCTCTCTTTTGAAAAAGCCCTGTTTGCATTCAAGAACGCCTTTTTTCGAAAGAGCACTTTCAAAAAAAGGCGTTCTTCCTCGTGAAATGAGGAGTACCGCCATCGAAAGAAAAGCCACGTTCTTTCGATTTAATTTCGAAAGAACGCGGCTGTAGTCTAGACGCAGCCAAGGATCTTATGTTGGTTTGACATTATTTGTTCTTGGCAAATCCATGTTGACTGTTACTTATACTTTGATTTTCTAGCTTCTTACAGATTGATGGTTTTTTTTATTTCCACCATTATCTTTATGGGTAACAAAGTTAAGGATCTGTAATTTCCTGAATCGTATTGTGGGTTGGTGATGCATTTGCCTTTTTCCAGTCCTCTGTGACCTCTCCCATTCCCCATGAGTTCTCAGAGATACTTGCTGATAGCTCCAAGTTTTCTTCAGCCTGTTCCTTAAGGATGTATTGCATCAGGCCCTGTAGACTCAAAGACTTCTAATTTGTCCAAGTACCTCTTCTATTTGGGCTTTGATCCTGCCCCATTTAAACTTATGCTCACTAAATTAGTTATCTAAACTTTTTTGCTGAAAATTGAAATATAAAAGGGATTTAATACTTTGGCCATTGGTGCATTTTCTTGTCTGACCCTCACCATTGATTAATGGCCCACCTTTTCCTTGGTCTTTCTCTTGATCTAGGGTATTTGAAAAATGTTTTCTTGTTACCATTTATGTCCCTACTCTGTTTAGCTTTGTTTGAATGTTGCCTTTTCTAATTTTATCCCACCATGTTTGTGTTGGTTTTTATTTTATATTGATCCTTCATAATTTGACCACGTTTCCACTTTGTATATGATTTTTTTCTTTAAGTTTGAGGTTGAAGATCTACTACTACTATTATACTCCCAGTCTTCCCTATTGAAATAATTTGCTTTTGTGCCTTTAATAATGTTTCTTCAAAAAACGCCAACTCTCCTAACTTCTTTTTTCCTTTAGACTTGCTTCCAATGGAATATTATCTGCCAATTTTCTGCGTTTTCCAAAGTCTGCTTCAAGTCCATTGTTTTTATTCTGCTGTTTTCTCTTCTATCATTCCTTACAATCATGAATTCTTATCATTTAATAATCACTTTCTCAAGCTGCCTTCAACGTTCAAATTATCAACCAGTTCCTCCCTATTCATCAGAATCAAATCTAGAACAGCCTCTCTCATAGTCCCTTTCCTCTGCCTTGTTACAGAATGTTGTCCCCCATGTATTTCAATAATTTTGTGGGTAATCTGTGCTCTAATAGAGGGTTTCCCAACCTGTATCTGGGTAATTGAAGTCCCCTTCATCACTATCTCCTATTTTGGATGATTTTGTTAGTGGTTTTTAAAAAGCCTCATCCTTCACTTCTTTTTGGTTAATGGTCTATCAGAGACACCTAGCATATCATCAACCTTGATTTTACTCCTTTTATCTTTACTCAGTGATTCTCCACAAGTCTGCCTCCTACATCTGTCTCAATTTCACTGCAAGGATATGCATCTTTAATATACATGGCAACATCTCCTTTTCTCCGCTTGCCTTGCCTTGCCTTCCTGAACAAGCAATCCCCTCCTATACCAATACAAATCCAAATTTGATAGAGGCAGATTAGAAGAATATGACTGCTGTTTTTTACTTCAGAGTTCTGCTATAGGTTGGATTTGAACTCACATTTCCTAGTGTTGTGTTCATATTCAATGACTATAACATTCAGAATCCTCAAGGTCCTGTATCATCATCATACATTACTGATTCTAGTGATGCAGCACTTAATTTAGATCTTTTTCTACCAACTGTATCCATCTTTGGTTTTACTTTTATTGTTCTCAAAATATGTATCTCTTCCCTTAGATTAAAAAAGCCACCGTAACAATAGATCAGCTACACGGTCGCTTACCAGAGAGCTCAGTTGAGAAAGCATCAAAGACAGAGCTTCTGGATCTTCTGGATTACCACAGCACTTTCATTCTGGAGGTGGAGCAGCAGCTGTTATCTTTGGGTCTGCTTAAGCAGCATGCAGTGAACATGCTCCAGGATGTGGAAGTGGAGCCTTCTTCTCAAGATGAGCTACCTTTCATGCAAGAAATTAAAGCAATGAAAGACCGATGCCACAAGTAAGGAGAAAACAGTATTTAAATCTGGGGATCTCAAACTCCTGCCCCATGGGCCACCCAGCCAAAGCAGTTATTCAGTTTGGCAGTCTGGTCCGGGATTGGGGGAGGGCTGTCCATTTTTTAGGGATTACTGGTGAGGTCCTAGGGCAACAGCAGCATTCTGTCCCCCCACCCCCGCCTCCACTCCCTGTGATGGCAGAAGTTGAGGGGATGTAGAGTACAGTCAGTGGATGCATTGACTCGACTGGCTCTGCTTCCCAGCATCTCCTGCCACCATGAGAAAAGTGGGGGTGGGAGGGTTGACCACTGCTGTCACCCCATTGCAACCTCCCTCTGGTAATCTCTAAGGCCACACTCCTTGAGGGATGGCCATGGGGTACGAGGAAAGGGGAGAAAGTGGAGGCAAGGCTTGGAGGATGGGAACAGATGCTTCCCCCCTTGGGCACTTGGGGACTCCTGGGCCAGATTGCACAACTACTCTGTCTGGGGATGGCACACAGGCCGGGCATTTGAGACACCTGATTTGAATAAAGGCTATTAGATAGAAAGGTCATGTTCTTTCTACATTAGTGTACTGTTTGTTGGTAACATAAATTAAAATTTCAAAACCTCCAGCTTCTGACTCAAGTTCTCAATGGAATTATGGTAAATGTATTTAAAGTCAGGCTAGCCTGAGCGAGTAGCAAGACAAAATGGCTGAACTGTGTTTTATAACAGCTATTCCATGAATATCAGTCCGTCTCTGGATGTCACCGTGACATACAGTCAAGAAAGACTGGAGAGTGAGATATTTTTTTATCGGGCCAACTTCTGTTTATGAGACACACAAGCTGTCATGCTTACACAGCTCATTTTCAAGCCTGGGAAATGTACTCAGGGTATTACAGGTAAAAGATTGTTTAACATAAATAGTTCTGTTCCACCTTGTATTTACGTATGATGCTTATAGTGTGTTTCCTGAACCTGAAGACATGCTCTGTGTAAACTCAAAAGCATGTCTTTCTTGTCAACAGAAGATGGTATAATAAAATATATTATCTCATGTCTCTCTACTGTCCTGAGACCTGCATGGCTACAATGTCACATATAAATAGTCAAGATACACTAAGTAAAATGAGTGATCTATAGAATTAAACAGCTGAAATTTAGGCCATATCTACACTAGTATAGACATGTTAATTGAACACTGAGGGCAGCTCCAGACGGCATCCAGTACTCTTCCTTTTTTGTGAGGAGTAAGGGAAGCCAATGGGAGCAAACCATTGGACTTCCGCTGTGCGGATTGCATGGAAACGTGATATACGTCAACTCCAGCTACATGCTTAATGTACCTGGAATTGTGTATCTTAATTCGACCTTCTACTTAGACCAGGCCTTAGTGTTTTAGACTATGTCTAGACTACGCTGAAGTTTCGAAAGAGGATATGCAAATTCCCATGGATTTTTTGAAGAAGAGCGGCTTTTCGAAAAAGGGGGAGGATACCAAAAAAAAGTGTCCCGACTACTTTCACTTTTGAAAGTA